GGGGAGGGGATATTACTAGCATTTAGAAAATAGAGGCCACAGGAATGCTGCATAGGGCAGTACTCCTTAACAAATGATCTGGCTCAAAATGTCCATAGGGCTGAGACTGAGAGACCCTGCTTTAAGGAAATCATTATTTGCTAGTGATTACTAAGAAAGATTGAGTAGATACAACATACAATTGCCTCTTATCACCAACTCCTTTGTTTTCCAAGAGACTAGATTTGTCAGAATCTTTATAAATGGGCTCTTCTAGAAGAGTTTTATTTTTATTTCTATTTTTTTTGAGTCAGAGTCTCACTCTGTTGCCCAGGCTGGAGTGCAGTGGCACCCTCATGGCCACCATAGCCTCAACCTGCTGGGCTCAAGCAATCCTTCCACCTCAGCCTTCCAGGTAACTGAAACTACAGGCATGTGCCATCATGCCCGGCTAATTTTTCTTGATTTATTGTAGAGATGAGGTCTTGCCAAGTTGCCTAGGCTGGTCTTGAACTTGTTGGCTCAGGCATTCCTCTAATCTTGGCCTCCCAAAGTGCTGGGATTATAGGCGTGAGCCACCACGCCTGGCCTAGAAGAGTTTATTGATCAAGCTCTTGGGCTCATGATGATTGCTTATTTAGAAATTGGTATGTTCTGGTCCTTGGTCATAAAATGCAATCCCAATACTAGTCAGTGGCAGACATGCAGCATTCATCATATGGGGAAACAGACAAGGAAATATAAATGAATAAAATGAAATTAATATAGTCCTGATGGATGTTTAATAGTGATATACTTATAAATAGGTATTTCTAAATTGGGATCTGTCCTTATAATTTTATGTTACTCTTCAGTCTGTAGCCATTGGGTTAGTCAGGTTGGTTACCATAGTTACCCATCATAAACTATGCTTAATGTTGCCTCTGTCTTTTGACTTATGCCTAGATTTGGAAGATACTTACTATGTTTTCTTCTAGATACTTTATTATTTTATAATTTTCAAATTTAAGTGCATGATTAATTTCAAATTAATTTTTGTGTATAGTTATAAGGCAAGGATCAGAGTTAATTTTTCCACACAGATGCTCAATTCTTCCAGTACCATTTAATTTAAAAAAATGTGTAACCTGGTCGGGCTTGGTGGCTCAGTCTGTTATCCCAGCACTTTGGGAGGCTGAGGGGAGTGGATTGCCTGAGCCCATGGGTTTGAGACTAGCCTGGGCAACTTGGCAAGACCTTGTCTGTTCAATAAATTAAAAAAATATTAGCCGAGTGGTAGCGCACACCTATAGTTCTGGCTACTTGGAAGGCTGAGGCGGAAGAATCACCAGAGCCCAGCAGGTTGATGCTGGGGTGGCCATGAGTGTACCACTGCACTCCAGCCTGGGGGATGGAGTGAGACTCCAACTCAAACAACAACAACAACAAAATAACTTTATATTTAATATAAGCTTTTTATTTAAGAAATAAGGAAATTGAAATCTGAAGAGCATGTAAACAAGGATTCTTCATAGAAATAGTTTTAGAGTTAAGATTCACAGTAAAACTCCTGGTTGTATTGCACTGTATCATGCTGATTATTGCTATTCCCTATTCAGATTTTTTTCTGTAACAATCCCTACTTTCTCACACTTGTTCCTCTCACCCCAATAATACAAATTGTAACACATATTTATCATAGAAAGTCTGGAAAATATCCAAAAGCGAAAAGAAGAAAATTAAGTAATCTATTATCAGCCATTCAGAAATAACTAATATATAACATTCTAGTATTTTTTCTATGTTCATTGCAAATTATTGTTTTGTTTTCTGTTTTTTCATTTTGTAAATTTGGATTTATTTTCTCAGGTCATTAAATAGTCTTCTAAAATCATGTTAGATAAATATAGATATGTAAATACAGGTATATATTTTAACTATAGTGGTATGGTATGCCTTGTTTTCAGCTAAATTGTATGTATGTCTGAAAAATTTATAAGAAATTAATGTGGAATGCTTTGATCATAGTATATGAGCTTTAAAAGTCTAATATAAAATATGATGTTTATGATGGCGTCTGATATCTTATGATTTTATATTCGATGACAAGTTGCCATTAAAATTACTACATGTCTAGCATAACTACTGGTATATTATTATTATACTATACTATTATTAGTGCTTCCTAAACTTTATCATGCAGTAGGATGCTGTGATCCACATAGGAAATGATAAAAATGTGTGGCATACTGGGGAAAACTGAGATGATTATCTCCCTGCTGTGTTACCCCAGGTCTGGCGTAACAGACTACTAAGTGGATCAGTATTTTAGCAACGTGAACTTTGGTTGGAAACTCTGGATTAGAACACAATAATGATAAGGTCCTAGGTTACTTCCTGTGTCATGTGTTAGGTGTTCCTTGTTTCTCACAATAGACTATAGAGTTTGGTCTACCAATAGTGGTGTATATGTACAATTTATCCACTTTATTTTTAATGGATATTTAGGTTGTTCCAGTATTTTGGAACATTTTCTAAGTAGAAAGTCAGGTTATCTGCAAATAGGGACAGTTTTATTTCTTCCTTTGTGGGAATGGAGAAGGGTGTTTTTTCTGTAACTACTTGAATATATAATGTACCCAATTTTGCCCATTGTTAAGTATAAATGAAAGAGACATTGCATTCCAAATCCTAAAGGAAATCATAATTTGTGATTACATATTTGTGATTATAGATAGTGCTATGAATAAGTCTTTTGATGGAAACAAGCAGTTTATTCTCTTGAGTATATCCAGGAACAGAACTGCTGGGTCATAGGATAAGTATATGGTTAGCTTCACTAGATATTATCAAACAGTCTTCCAAAGTAACTGTGAAATTTTCATTTTCACACGCCATGTACAAGAGTTGTAGTTGCTCCACATTACCACCAGCACATTTGTGTCTGTGATTCATTTTGAATTAATTTTTGCATAAAATATGAGACTTAGGTTGAAGTTCATTTTTTTCTTTTAATCTACAGATATCCACTTACTTTAGCACCATTTGTTGAAAAGGCTGTCTTTTCCTCATAGAGTTCTTTTTGTACCTTTGTCAAACATCAGTTGGATGTATTTGTGAGGGTCTACTTCTGGGTTTTCTGTTCTTTTCTATTGATCTATTTGTCTGTTTATCTGCCAATATTACACAGTCAGATACTGTAGCTGTATAAGTGTTAAAATCAAATATACCAATTCCTCATACTTTGTTATCCTTTAAAAAATTTTATTTTAGCTAATTTAGTTCTTTTCTTTTTTTCTGTATAAATTGTAGAATAATCTTGTTTATATCCACAATAATCTTTCAGGAATTATCATAGGGATTTTGTTAAGCCTGCTTATCACTTTGGAGATAATTGACATGTTTGTTGTGTCTTCCTGTCCATGAACATGGTATTCCTCTCCAACAATTTGTATCTTCTTTGATTTCTTTCATCAGCATTGTGTAGTTTTTATCATATAAATCCTGTACATGTGTTATACATTTATGCACAAGTATTTCTTTTTTTTTTTTTTTTTGAGTTGAAGTCTTACTCTGTCACCTATGCTGGAGTGCAGTGGCACCCTTACAGCCATCACAGCCCCAATCTTCTGGACTCAGGTGACCCTGCTGCCTCAGCCTTCCAAGTAGCTGGAACTACAGGCATGCACCACCATGCCAGGCTAATTTTTTGATTTATTGTAGAAATGAGGTCTTGCCAAATTGCCCGGGTTGGTCTTGAACCTGTGAGCTCAGGCAATCCTCTCACCTTGGCCTTCCTAAGTGCTGATATTATAGGCATGAACCACCACACTTGGCATATTTTTTTGCTGAGTTATAAATGCCATTGTATTTTTAATTTTGATTTCCATGTGTTGATTGCTCTTACAGAAATACAGTTGATTTTTGTATGTTTATGTTGAGTCCTATGATCTGCTGTACATTTTCTAAGTAGAAAGTCAGGTTATCTGCAAATAGGGACAGTTTTATTTCTTCCTTTGTGGGAATGGAGAAGGGTGTTTTTTCTGTAACTACTTGAATATATAATGTACCCAATTTTGCCCATTGTTAAGTATAAATGAAAGAGACATTGCATTCCAAATCCTAAAGGAAATCATAAGAACTGATGGGGTGGCAAAGAATCAAGGTAGATTTGAAAATGACACATACTTTTTTTCCTAATGTTAGTGTAGGTGAGAAGACTGATACTTGAGGTAGGTAACTCAAAAGTAAAAGCATATTTGGGAAATACAATGAGTTCTCTTTTGGATATGTTGAATTTTTAGATGCCAATGGGACATCTATGTTGACTTGTCCAGTAGTCGTTTGACCTGTGGACTTAGAATTTGGGAGATAGGATAGATAGGATTTAATAGAAATTCCTGAGAGATTGTAGCTGATACAGTGGCAGAGAGTAGATGTAGAATGAGTCGAGATCTGATGAGGAAATGCTAACAAAGGAATAGCTTTTAGAAATGTAATAGGTGAATGAAAAGATATATGGAGGTTACTCATGTTGTATTTTTTGGTGTATATTTTATCTTCAATAAATTTAAGTTTCTTTTTATTTATCCTGAAAATTGTATTTCTATAGAGGAGCCAGTAAAGTGCCAGCGTTTTTTTTTTTTTTTTTTTGAGTTGGAGTCTCATTCGGTCGCCCAGACTGGAGTGCAGTGGCCGCTCCCGGCCACCGCAGCCTCGCCTGCTGGGCTCCAGCGATCCTTCCGCCTCAGCCTTCCGAGTAGCTGGAATTACAGGCATGCGCTACCACGCCAGGCTGATTTTTTTGTGTTATTGTAGAGATGAGGTCTCGCTGCCCAGGCGGGTCTCGAACCCGCGGGCTCAGGCAATCCACTCAACTCAGCCTCCCAAAGGCGCAGGATTACAGGCTGAGCCACTGAGCCCGGCTAGTGCCAGTGTTTTTACTTCAATTTATATATATATATGCTTTTACTTAGGAATTTCCAGCTAATTTAAGTGGGAAAAGTTGGTTGGATTAAACAAAAAAGACTTTTTCTTTGCAGATTGCAGCAATTCTCCGGAAACGAAAATTAGACTATTATCTACACAAACTACTCCCTGAGATCCTACAATCTGCTTCATTTCTGACTGCTAATGGGGCCTTGTATATGGCTTTCTTTTGCATTTTAAGGTTGGTACTCATAATCACCACTAGATATTAATACATATTCCTTTGTTGAAATGGAAACAAACAGATGTTTACGTAAATGGAAACAAACAGATGTTTACGTAAAATATATACAGGCAGGTCATATATACAGACAATCTCCTGCCCAACATTTTATATATATATATGTATATATATGTAATTATATATATATTTTTAAATGTATATATGTAAATATATATGTGAATGTATATCTTTATATATATAAACCATATATATATATGCTTTTTTAATCTGTGAAATTACATTCATCTCAAAGCTTGTAAAACTAGGAACTGTGGGCCTCTTGACCTGAAGAAGTAATCTAAATTTCAAATGACTAATGTGATTATATAGCAAAAATGCTTTATGATATCACACATTTTCTGAGGCCTGTTATGATTACCAAGTTGTTGATCAGGATTTCTTAGCTTTTCAATTTCATAGATCAGAAATTCAAAGCAACTATTTGTGACATAGGTTAGGGCCATATGCAGTAAACAAACTTCAAAGTGACTATAAAATGCACATGTTTATGTATAAAACAATAAATTAACTCCTGGTGTATTTGAAATTTTTGTCCTGATTCTGTCTTATATACATTATCTGTGCTACATGCTTTATATGTTATATGGATGCAGATAGAATTCAGTCTCTTGAGTTCTGTGACACATCTAACATATTTATTAGATATTTACTTCTTTTTATCTTTTCTCTGCTGATTGTTGAAAACTCAAGCAAGTGTTTTTTAAATATCTGTCAAGTTAAAATATTAACTTCACATTATCTTCATGTTAGTGTTGTACAAGATAGTTCAACAGGCATGTGTTAATGGCAGCTGAAAATACAATTTCCAAATGTCTTTCACAGATTTTTTTCTCAGAGTATTAGTATTTGTTCACTTTGAGATTATGCAGAAAATGATTGATAAGCTTTTCTTACTACTGATCAAACATGCCTTTAAATTGGCATGAAAAATCTATGTAGGAAACTCTCTTCATCATGTGGTTTGTAGAAAGTGTCTAAGACTTGTTAATCCTCTAAAAATAAGGATATACATTATTAGCTTTTAAAAAATTGTAATATGTATACATTGCTATTGCAGCTTTTAAAAAATGTTCTATGAACCTGTTAGGTTGTAGAAGCATAAAATACTTATAATTAAGGTAGCATACATGTTTTTTCCATAACTAATTAATTGAGTCCATTTTTCTTTAGTTTTTACATTCAATAGCTTGTTTAGTCCTTTGTGTATTTTATATCATAGGAAAATCCATGTCCGGTCCTCTCAGGTATGTTTCTGATGGCCATTTCAAAAATACCCAAGTTAATATGTCCTCAATAGTTTTTCTAATTATTTTAAATCTAAATTTCAATGAAAAAGATCATTTCATCTGTGATTCTTGATTCTTGTATATATATGATAAGAATATATATATGTGTATACACACATACTTTTTTTTTTTTTTTTTTTTTAGAGACAGTGTTTTTCACTTTGTCATCTGGGCTAAAGTGCAGTGGCATGATCCTAGCTCATTGCAGTCTTGGAACTCTTGGGCTCAAGTCATCCTCCTGTCTCAGCCTCCTGAGTACCTGGGAATACAGGCATGTGCCACCACACTTGGCTAAAAATATATATATTTTTTCTGTAATGTATTGTTTAGCCGTTGACCAACTGTTCAGATTATTTCTTATCATTTTTTAACTTGCTACTTCTTTCTGGCTTAGGAATATATTGTTTTGAAAGGGGAAAAACCTTCTTAATATATCCAGGTTTCTTTTTTCTCCCCTCTTCAAAAACCCAAGATCATTCATGATATGTGAGGCATTATGAAGATTCCTACTTTCAAGGAATATACTCTATGAAATGAAAAATGATAAACACATAAAACTAAAAAATATAGAATACTTTTATTAAATGCTGTAGGGAAAAAGTTACTAAGTTGTAGAAGCAAAGAAGGAAAAATATTGTTAAATATCTATTATGTGTTAAAGAATAGGAGACATGGTAATAGTAATAATTGTAATGCCAGCTAACACTTTCTTGCGTGGTGCTAGGAAATATTTCATGTAATTCCTTATAACAGTTGATGAGATAGGTAATATTATTCCTATTTAATAAATAAGGAAGCTGAGAACCCAGAAGGTTTAAAATGCCAGCAGGTTTGAATCCAGGGAATGCTTGAAAGACTGACTAAATTATTGGAAGGAGAGCTAATCATTAGTTTGTGATTGTAGAAGCCCTAATGAGAGATGGTGAGGTATTTAACTAAGGCATGGGCAATAGGTTGGAGAGAAATTTGAGAGATAAATTACATGTGGAGTAACTTAAGGGAATGATTTAATGTGTGAGGTGAGGGAGACAGAAAGTTGAGGATGACTGTAAGTGTCAGACCTAGTGGATAGATGGTTGTTGGTAACAATAACCTGGGATAATAGAGGAAGGGGAACCCATTCATGGGGGCAGGGAAGAGAGATTATGAGTTTGGTTTTGGATATGTTGAATTTGAGGCACATTTAGATCGAGGGTGAACTGTCAAGGGAGACTTTTAGTTATAATAACTAAAATGACCAACTAGGAATTTCATACATAAATTTCAAATTTGAATTTCAGGAAGATACTTGGAAAATTCTACTCATGGACTCCTGGCTTTGGTGCCGCTTTGCCAGCATCTTATGTGGCCATTCTGATTGAAAGAAAAAGCAGGTAAATTCTTATATATCTATTTAATAGAACGGGTTACCTGTCCCCCACTCCAAGTAGAAATTTTTTCTTTTCTTTTTGCTTATCACTTACTGTAGTCCTGGGATGGGAAATACTTTCATATATAGATTTTTAGTTCTACAAATATTTGATTGAAAATTAATTTTATTATTAATATTATTAATATTATTTATATTTCTTGTCTATAAAAGTCTAAAGATTGACATTATAGAGCAATAATACTCTGATTCTGTTTAAAAAATTGGAGAATTTTTTTGACGTGCCCTAACTAAAACATGATAAACACAAATTCTAATGAAAGATCTTTTCATAGCCACAGCACCACTATCACATGTAAGAAAATTAGTAATATTTTTCTATCATCATCTAAACCTATACTTTACTTCAGGCTTATTGAAAGATCTCTTGTCAATCAGTTATTAACCTTAAGATATCTTGCTGAAAGATTTTTTTTGATTGTTACTAGCTGGAAATTTTCCATGTGAATTAGTAAGTTTTCTGTAAAGTGCTATAAAGTGCTGCAAACTTCTGTACAGTGCTCAGTTGGGTAAACAGTTGAAGTTAAAACTTTTGCATAAGAAAATATTTGCCTTCTCATAAATAAATTTTTTTTTTGAGTTGGGATCTTGAGTGCAGTGGCATAATCATGACTTACCATAGCCTTGGCTTCCTGGGCTCAAGTAATCATCCTGAGTAGCTAGGACTACAGGTGTTCATCACAATACTTGGCTGATTTTTTATTTCTTGGTAGAGACAAGTTCTTGTTATACTGCCCAGGCTGGTCTCAAACCCCTGGACCCAAGTGATCTTCTTGCCTCAGCTTCCCAAAATGCTGAGATTATAGGCGTGAGCCATCATGCCTGGCAACATGAATAATTATTTTTATTGCTGAGAAATTATCCATCTTTGTCCTAGAGAATTTAGATAGGGTCATATATTAAAATCTTTTGGTTCATGAAAATGCTTATTATAGGCATTTGCCCCCTAGTAAAAATATGAATAGATATAATCAGATAACCAAATATTACTTAAACTACCTGAAGCCACTCTTAATGCATTTCTGTAAATGTAACACTATGTAAATTTTTGTGATTCTCCATTTAATTGTTTCATACTTTCGGATGATTAGAAGTATTGAACTCAAAGTATTTTATTTTTTATTTATTTATTTTTATTATAATGTTGTGGGGTACAGTTAAGGGTTAGGTATACAAATACGTTTCATTCAGGCACCCTGTTGATTAGAGGTGCTTCCCCATCGCCAGACAGATATTTGCTCATTAATCCCATCTCCCTCCCCCCCCATAGTTTCCCACTATTGTCAGTCATTTTCTTATAGTATTAGATTGGATGTTTAAGGTCCATTATATGAGTGGAAACATGTGATACTCGGACCTTTGTTTTTGTGAGAGGTCACTCAATATTATAGACTCTAGTGGCGAAAGATTTATACGATCTGAAGAGAAACCAGAGTATTCAAAGTATTTTATAAGTGCAGCAAAATGAAGTCAGTAATACTAGAAACATACATTACTCCAACTGAGGGGAGAGTACAGCAGGATGGTTGAAGTGTGGATTCTGGAGTTGCGCTAACTGGCTTAGGAGCCTGGCTCTGCCACTTGTTGTGTGACCTCTATAGATTATTCCTTCTCTGAAAAATGGAAACATGATAATTTGCTTGTAGGATTGTTTAGATAATTAAGTAGGGTAACATACATAAAAATGCTTGGAACGATGACTGGCACATAGTAAGAATTATGTATGTGTTAAGCATTATTGTTTTTTTGTCCATAAGTAATGAGAAAGTTATTCTGGTGATTTAAACTTCTCAATTTAAAAATAAGAATATTGGTTTTGAAAATAGATGTTCAAAATATATGTCACTCATATGAAACTGTAAAGATGCTTTAAATTAAGTATACTATTTACTTATTTTTGGTACTTGGATAATAAGACAGCATTTTGTAATTATGTGCCTACCTTTTACAGAAACTATTGAACAACTTTGTAATTATGTACTAGAGTTAATAGTTAACATTTTGCCATTTTTACTTTATTTGTATGTGAATGTATGTGTATATATCTTTTTTTGTTTGTAAACCTATGGAAGCATGTTGTAGACATCATGACATTTTACTTTTGACTACTTCAGCATGCATCTTCTAAAATAAGGATATTTTTACATAATTACAGCACTCTTAGCACACATGAGAAAATTAGCAATCATTCTTTAATTCTACCCAGTACATAGTCTCCAAAAATGGCCTTTATAGTTGTTTTTGAACCAGAATTTAGTAAAAGTTTATGTATGTTGTTAGAGTTCTTTACTTTCTCTTAATTTAGGAGAGTTTCTCCACTTTTTTCCCACCATGGCATTGATTTATTGAAGTTATTGAAGTAATCAAGCCAGTGGCCTTGTTGTATGTAGCACATTTTTGGCTTGTCTGGTGTTTCCTCATGTTTAATTTATTCATTTATCTTGTGTATTTCTTGTAATGTTAAAGTTTAGTCTAAAGGATTGATTAGATACAAATGGAATATTCTTTTTCTTTTTTTGAATCAGAGGTCTCACTGTTGCCCAGCCTGTTGTGTGGTGGCATGCTCATGGTTCACCACCACCTCAACCTTGTGGACTCAGGCAGTCCTTCCATCTGAGTGACTGTGACTATAGACATGTACCACTACATGTAACTAATTTTTTGATGTTTTGCTGAGACAGAGTCTTGCTATGTTATCTAGTCTGGTCTCAAACTCCTGGCCTCACACAATCCTACCACATTGGCCTCTTAAAGTGCTGGGATTGCAGCTGTGAGCTGCTACACCTGACCCAAATTAAATATTCTTGATAAGATTATACTTAATAGGTGATGCTGATGCCAGCAAGAGTTCCATAGCTTGATTGGAAGATCACCAGATTTTTCCAATAAATTTATTATTTATGGTGAATTAGGTTAATGGACTTCCTGATATTCCACAATTCTTGCTTTGCTGGAATAATATCAGTATTTGTGAAACTGGCTCGTCGTGTGTGTATAGATTAATGGATTTCCTGAAATTCCACCATCCTTGCTTTTCTGGAATAAACCTCACTTGATTGTGATATCTGTATTTGTGAGACTGGCTAGTCATTGTGTGTGTGTGTGTGTGTGTGTGTGTGTGTGTGTGTATTTGTCAGGTTTTGGTGTCAGTGTCATATTCACTTCATAAAATGTCAGAAGTTTTTCTCCTTTTTCTTTGCTCTGAAATAGTTTAAGTAGTAATTTTCTGGCTTTTTGAGTGTTTGGTCAGTTGTGAAACTTTCTGGGCATGATGACTCTTGGATAGTGTTCTTAGAAAAAGTTATGTTTCCTCTATAAGATTGGTCTTTTTAAGCTTTCTACTCGCTCAAGAATGAGTTTTATTAACTTTCTCCAAGAGCTACAGAGTTATCTATCTCAGAATGTTATCAATTTTCTAGAGATTGTTTATTTAAAAAGATTTTTATATTTGTTTGCATGGAGTTATGCAAAGTAGTTAGTTATTATTGACTGAATTTTCTGTATTTCTCAACTTGTTTTGTATAATTGTGCCATTACCTTTTTTACTGTTACTAATTTGGTTGATTTTTTTTCCAACAAATTAGCTTATTTATTAGGTCTGTTTTTTGTTATTGTAGTTCAGGTTTTGTTTTTATTTTTTTGCCTTCCCTCTTTATAATTTATTTTTTGGCAAATTGGTTTTTTTTTATTCTTTTTAGTTTGATACCTAAATTATTTTCATTCTTTTATGATCAGTGCTTTAATTGTATCCCATAGACTCTTAAATGTAGCATTTTCATTATCATCATTTTCTAGAAATTCTGCAATTGTTATTTGTTTATTTTTGATATACGAATTATTCAGTAGAGAGTTTAAGATAGAAGGACTTCTTTGTTTTTAATTTCTAGTTTATTGCATTCTTACCTGAGAATGTTGTTTGTAGTATTTCCTCTGTATGGAACTTAGTAAAATTTTCTTTATGGCCTAATTTATGACCAGTTTTTGTGAGAGTTTTATGAGCAGTTGAAGAAAAAGTGCATTCTCTTTTATTGTGACTCAAAGGTTGATAGATAGCCATTAGATCTGTGCTGTTGATTATATTATGTTGTACCTTCATTTTGGGGTGGCAACTCTAGCAATGAAAAGTGTGTTTTTCATCTTATTTAATAACCTTTGGCTTAAATTCTGTATTTTTGAGACATCAAGATTATACCTCTAGCTGTGATTTTGCTTGCACTTGCCTCATATATCTTTACCTTTCTGAAACTATTTTTTTATATCTATCTTATATATAAAGTTGGGTTTTATTTGGTCAACCAATGTGAAAATCTTTTTGTTTTAAAATATTAGTTAAGCTCACATACACTTACTGATAGCACTGATATCACTACTGATACCACTGATACCACTAATATGTTTTTAGTTCTGCTACATCATTTTATGTTATTTTTACTGTATCTGTAATTATATAGCCTGTTTTTTTTCTTGTTGTTCTTGAGAGGATAGAAAAGCTTCCAAAGCTAGAGGGGACCTGAGGGGTTTGCCTAGTCTGCCTTTTTTTAACTTTTACTTTTAAAATGATTATACACTGAGGAACAGTTGCACAAATAGTACATAGAATCATTTGAACTCTTAACCCAGCTTCCCCCAATGATGACATTTTATATAACTAGTATAATATAAAACCAGGAAGTTGATGTTAGTGTCAGCTACACTACAGACCTTATTTACTACTTATTTACCATCCACCAGTTTTTATGTACCTATGTGTAAGTGTATGGGTCTATGTAGTGTGTGTCTATGTGTAGATTTGTTTAGCTACCACTACAATCAGTATACAAAACTGTTTCATCACCACAGAGGGTTGTTCTTGTACTATCCCACTGTAGTTGTATCTGCCTGCCAGTTCCTGTCTTTTGACAATGTCTGACCTGTTTTTCATTTCCATTTTTATGTCATTTTGAG